CCAAGTCCTTAATTCACAATTGACATTTCTTTTCAATTGATTCTCCAATCCAAATATAACTTGATCCCAATATCAAAAATATCACTTTTATCCATCCATGAATTTCATACATGAGGTAAAAGTATATTTTATCACAATATTTTCATAGTTAATTCCATTACCATGTCATTCCTTTCACATCACATAATCATACACAACTTATTCTAAATTTGTATATCATGCTTCACATACTCATAACAATAGTATTTTAATTTAGGCATTATTACTCATTAATAATCCATGAAAATCCCTTTTAATACCATTTGGAAATCTTATGAAATTAACTCACTAATTATAAGCAATATAGTCAACCATCCTCACCTTATGATGTGCTCAAGTAGATGCCATTACGAAGCCCTTCGATCAATCCCCGTTCTAGGTCGATTGAATCACAAAAACTAGACTGTTGGGCAAAAATCGGGCGGCTTTCGTAGTCTGCAACTACGAACAGCTCCTTTGGAGTGGCGGTTTCCGGCGATTTCGACTCCTATCAATTTGCCAACCCTTCTAAGTTAATTACCACCACTTTATATCAATATTATACACTTTTAAACGTGTAGAACTCGTGGTTTAATTCAAATACATACCAAATTTTAAATTCAAGTACATCCGGGTGCGGTGTCACATAATGCTCTCGACGTGAATGGGACATGGTCTCTTCAAGACTTGCCTCTATGAGAAAAACTCACGTAGTACAAATGGAAATACAAAATCAACGCAATTTATATTCTGGGATCGGCGCACCATGATAATGGTGTGTCTGATCCCAAAACGTCGTCGTTCGATTTATTTAAAAAATAGGTTGCATTTTGGCATTAACCGATCGAAGATTTCCGCAGCTCAACATTAACGGATTTTTCTCCTTACTCTGTCATCTCTTCGATACATTTTCTAGGCTTCTTCAATGGATTTTTCTGTCGATGATTCAGTTCTTGTTGATTCTTCAATTGGATTGCGAGATACTTTTGCTTCTGATACACGCGATAACATCATTCATTCAATTGGTGACAATGATTTCGAAGTTGATCAAATGATTGATGTTGAATTGATCGGTAAGTATTAATGTTTCATGTTGTGTGAATTTTGTTTATTTGTGCTTGCAGTATTGTCTAATATCTTTTGTTCTCTATTTTATACGATTGCTTGAGAATTTGGATTGTATGAGTATTCATATTTGCTGATTTTACATTCAGGGGAAGAAGAAGATACTGTTTCAAAAGCTTCTAAATTGTTATATCTTCTTAGCAGAGGTACTTATTCCGTCATGTAACTTCAATAGTATTTAACTCGTGTCTCAATTTTATGTAACTTGTGTTACATGATATGTAACTTGTGTTACATGATATGTAATTTCAGTTCAATTTAATGTAACGTAGTTCCAATGTATGTAGTTGTTGTTTGTTTTTCATATATATGCTTCGTAAATTGTCAGGTTCATTGGAAACTGATCATCAATCAACTGAGAGTAAATCACTTATTGAGCTTAGTGTCAAGTGTGAACAGGATGCTTATAATCTTTACAACGATCATGCTTTTGAAAATGGATTTGGTATTCGTAGATACAAACAGAGGTTTAGGAGTGGCAATGTAAGTTTGATTATGAAGTCTTACTGTTGTTGGAAAGAAAGGAAGAAAGAATAAAAGGGTACTGAAAACAAAATGTATACGAAGTTAGATTATCGTTCTGGTTGTAAAGCGAAGTTACAGTTTTCTATTAGTATTGATGGTGAATGGACTGTTTCAAAGCATATTATTGATCACAACCATGCTTTTTGTCCAATTGGTCAAAGACACCTGCTAAAATCACATAGAGGCATTGATCGTGAGTATCTTGAGTTTATTATGTTGATGAAGGAGAGTGGGACAAAGGTTGCAGATGTTCACAGGATGTTTCAAAAACAGGCTGGTGGTGTTAGTGCTCTTGGATTCACGAAACGTGATGCTTATAACGTTCTAGAATATGAAAGAAGTAAAACGTTTGATGGTACTGATTCGAACACTTTGATTGGTATATTGAAGAAAAGGGCTGAAGTGGAATCTGATTTTTTCTTTGATTTTGAGCTGGATGACGGTGTACTAAGTTTTTTTTTCTGGAGAGACGGTCAAATGAGATCCGATTATGAGAGGTTTGGAGATCTAGTTGTGCATGATAACTTACAGGATTAACAAGAATGACATGATTTGTGGTTCGTTTATTGGTATGAATCAACACTGTAAAAACATAATGTTTGGTTGTGGCTTTATGCTGAATGAAAAGGCGGAGTCTTTTGTTTGGTTATTTCAGACTTTTCTGAAATCTATGGGTGGTAAACACCCCATCAGTTTCATGACAAACCAGTCATTTTCCATGGCAGCGGCTATCAAATCTGTGTTTCCTGGAGCAAGACATAGACTCTGCATTTGGCATATAGATCAAAATTCAAAGAAACGCATCATGCATTTACGCAAGAAGTTCAATTTTGTTCCTCTGTTTGATTATGTTGTGAAGCGATGTGACACAGTTGCAGAGTTTGATTTCTACTGGAATGAGTAAGTTATTTGTTTTTTGATGTAACTTCTTAATTATTTGATGTAACTTTTTCTATCATTTTGTGTAACATGTATGGTTTTCATACGTAATCTTGTCTTCTTTTTAAATCTGTTTAAGATTGAATAGAGTTTATAAATGCAGTGACAACACATGGTTGAAGAGGTTGTACAGTCATAAAGAAAAGTGGTGTCCTGCTTTTTCAAAGGATTACTTCTCTGGTGGTGTTCTATCCTCCCAAAGAAGTGAATCTACAAATAGATCCATATCTAGAAGACTTACAAAGACTACAACATTATGTGTTTTTTTCAAAATGTTTTGTGATGTTGTTGATGAATGGAGGTTAGGGGAAAATGGTCATGATTTTAGATGTTCTGAAGGTACCGTTGAGATGGTATTGCTACAAGACAGTTTGTTGTCTCATGCTAGAGATGTGTATAGCCTTGAGATTTTCAAACTGTTCCAAGAACGATATTTGAAGGGTATGTCACATTTTTTAAATTAATCTCACACAATTGTAATGATTATGAGTATCATGTTTGGTTTAATGGGGTAGATTTGATTAGACACAACGTTACTTTTAACAAAATGACAACACAGTGACATGCACTTGCAAGATGTTTTCAGAAGTTGGCATTTTGTGTAGACACATTTTGCGTATATATAATGTCCATTGTGTCAAATGTATTCCCCAAGTTTATATACTGTCTAGATGGACAAAGGCTGCCAATCTGCCAAATGTTAATCTTTCTCTTATGCAAGGAACCGATATTATGTTTGGTAAAATATTGGAAGATTCTTTTTGGAGAGTGCAAATGATTAGGAAATTCAACACAGTATTGGGTGCAAGTGCTAGTTTTCCTGAAGCTAGGCAAGTATGTGAGCAAGGATACGAGTCTATTAAACATTTTTTAGATATTCAACGAAATGCTTCTGTTATGGATGAATCTGCTTCAAGGACAATATTGGATCCTTCACGCTCTCGTCCTAAAGGTCAGCGAAATACCCGAAAGAGAAGTACTGTTGAAAAATAGTGCAAAATAGTCAAAGCTCGTCGTTCCAAATCCCAAAATGTTGTCTGCAATTCAAAAGCAGTTTCTCAATCTATTGTACAAGTATTTGTTTATTTTTTTATTTTTTTATATATTTAATGCATCTTTTCTGATCATTACTTTTTGTTTTGTTTAATTCTAGGACACAGTTAATTTCATGGTTCCACAAGGTTATCTTGTTCATCCAGTTGGAGGAATGACGTCCTTAATGCATGTGCTTGGATCTCCACAAGTTTTTGCTCCATACTTCATGCAATCGAATGTTGTGAACCAAATGTAGAATTAGTTATAGAGATACACATGTTTGGCATTTCTTGATTTTTTATTGTACAAGTTGAAGAGTTTACATATATTATTGTGGGTCATTACATTTGTAGCAACCAAAGTTACATTTGATTTAATGGAATTTATATTGTCTTTACTGTTCGTTTACAGATGTCAAAGAGCACTACTATAAAAACAATACACAATCAATATTGTTTACTCTGAGTTACATAATAGTGAACACAATCACTATTGTGTAAGAGTTGTTACACTCTTTTTGCCTTGAGTTACATGGTCCTGTAACGTGAATTACATTTGATGTAGTCATTGTTTACATCAGATGTATATTACATGTATACCTAATGGATTTGATATAGGTTAATATATTAGGCTATAACATTTCATTCACACATAAGTTATATATATATATATATATATGTGTGTGTGTGTGTGTGTGTGTGTGTGTGTGTGTCTGCATAAAACATATATAAGGAGTTTACATCAAATTATCATAAACCAAACATGTAAGTTGCATTTTACATCATAATATCTTAAACCAAACATATAAGGTGTCCATTGCATCACCAGCTACTGCATAAAACCAACAAATGTTTTAAGTTTATCCATACCATCACCCCCTCCATAAAACCAGCAATTTTTTTTATAGTAATCCCGCCAGATTAACTAATTACATCTTAAGGTACTCTTTTGCTTTTTTCACAACATTTTCTCTTTCACTATTAAATTTGGACAGTAATAATTGAGCTCCATACATCAATCTCATCTTCTGAAGGATTACATTTTGAGCTTTGATTTCGTCATTTGTAGCAGCAAGTGCAAATCCAAAATCCCATGTGTGTCCTTGGCCACGATATGTCTCCAAATGGCGCAAAACAAATATTCCACAGTCAACAGTATTGCCATTATGTCTCCATGGCATAAATAACATTCTGGGAATCCAATTTCTGGGCTTTCCATCTGAAATCTTCACTTTCTCACAAAAGACTTTGAATCCATCACCCTATACAAGAAGAAGTTACATTACTGGACTAAAATAATGTTGAATAATATCATTTGTTATTTCCAGAAAAGTTGTACTGAATTTTTACCATTTTCTTAAAAGTTTCGCCATATTTGTCCTCAAAGATCACCCCTTCTGGAAGCACGCGGTTGTCAATCACATCAACAATGTTGCTTTTTGTGTAAAAGCAGTAGATATAATAGTGCCCAGATTTGTGTATTGGAAACATTATCTGCAATACACATGAGTCATAAGCATTTCATCTTTCACACTGACATCAGTTACATAAACCAAAACAGAATTTACATACTTCATATCAGGACTTACATCCCTCAACACCTGCAGTTACATATTATTTTACACCACTTGTTTTAACTATATTGTTAAAACAATATATCTTACACACTGACTTACATAAAACAATATTGAGTTTACATAATTCATATCAGAACTTACATCACTCAACAGTTGCAGTTACATAATCATATATTTAAACCATAAACACTTGAACTATGTAAATTCAAATATTAATGACATTTTACCATATCAAATGTTGTGATATTTGTCTGCTCCTGCTTCATTGAGTTCTTTTTCCAATCTGTCAATCACATTTTCGTTTGGGTCACCAGATGCAAAATCGAACATTGCCTGCACATTGAAATTGAGTCAATCCAATCAAAATATACTAACTGAAGTTCTCTGTATTATTTTACAAATTTATAAGAAAAAACTATACATACATATACTTGGGTTGTCGCTATGAAGGTGCGCTTTGTAGTCTTATTTGATTTTTCTCTGTCATTCAAAATCTTTACAAATGCATCAATGATGGAGTTGTCTATATTTTCTTCTTGAAGGGTCTGAAACTCCTCACGAGTGATAAAAATACCTCCCTCATCTTGATAGGCACAGTCACTAACACAATAATATTTTTCAAACAAATTCAAAAACATTTAATTATGAAATAATGTTTCTATTGAAATAATACATTATATAATATCAGACTTTCTTACTTTTCAACTTCTTTTGACATACCATAGTCAAGAACAATCTTTTCATCCCTTCTCATTTCCTTGCACAACCTTCTGTTGTTCTTGAGAAATGGTGATCTGTAATTCACACCTACATTACCTAACTTTCTAAGCTTCCTCTTTCTTGTGTGTGGCTTTAGCTCAGCATTCCTTTGGAAAAAACAACAAAATGTTAACTTCATTAAGCTAATTAAACACATTAATGAATTACATAATAAACAATTAACACTTACTCTTGTTTATTTTCAACTTCTTTGTTTAATTCTCCATCTGTAGCAGTTTTGCCCTCTCCAGTTACCCCAACCTCTTCATTCTCTTCTCCAGTAGCAGCACTTTGGTTTACTAGATCAGCAGCAGTTTCAATTACCACATCTTCTACATCAGGAGCAGTTTCAGTCATCACATGTTCTACATCAGAACCATTTTCAGTCATCACAGCTTCCACATCAGCAGCAGTTTCAGTCATCATAGCATTTTGGTCCACTTTTGAAGTGGTTGCACCCTGAGTCATGTTGAACTCAATGCCTAAATCAAATGAAGGCATTGCAAATTTCTGAAATGCTGCTTTCTCCAGTTTCTCAAATGCTTCCATAACTCCGGGCTCATTAAAAAATCATCATCTTCTTCAAGTACACACTTCTCTGATAATCTTTCTATCTGAGCCATTTCTGATCTCCATTTGCTTGATTAATAAAGTAATCAGCAGTTGTCAAATATATCTTCCTCAATATATCAGAATTTGGGAACTTCTTAGAAATGGTTGATGGTAGCTTGGAAAACTCAACAAATGCATCACTGAATTTTTGGGCGACTGCCACAATTTACTTCACACACTCCTATAAAAATTAAAAATAAACTAGAAATTTTCATATCACATACATTGTAATACAGTGGAATCATCATTCAAAACTTTACATTCCACAACACCTTAGTTTACATTTGGATAGGCAAGACTTACATGTCATAGTAAAACAGTTAACATCATTTGACTTAGACAACTACAATTTACATCTTATACTAATAGAAGTTACATTTTAAACAACATGTGTTACATATTCTTGAGCACAATTTACATCATTTAAAATTCAGAAATCTAAACTCTTCAAGTACTTGATGTAAATGATTAATAAAACTTACTTCCTTTGTCAACAGCTCATATCCTTTCTGTTCAGTTTCTTTTTCTACAGGCATGATTCTGGGCTTAACCTTGCCAAGTCCAAATCCCAACTTCCTCTCATCTTTCACTCTTTTATCAATTCTATCTTTGGTCCAGAATTTTATTGTAGGAAAAACATTGTCCAAAACATGTCCTTTGAATTGCACCCTATCAAAGTAACAAATCATTAGAAACAATAAAGGTCCAGTAAACATTCTTGATGGACAGGTCTGCCATTCTTCTCCAGTTCATATTTTGATTTCACCAACATTTACTAAAGAAAGCAAGATCTTGAAGTTGCTCTTCACACTCCGGTTGCCTCTTATCAAACAAGAGACTGTGAAGACAACAAATTCCTGATGAACTTATCTCCATCATCATCATCATCGTGAAGGATTTTTTCTATCATTGATGTTGTTTGTGGGCTGCCTTTCTCAATGTCCCACTCTGCTCTCCATTCTTTCAGCAGCTCAGTGTAGTCTTCTGTTTCATTCTTTCCATTTGCTTCGACAACATGTTTCTCTCCGTTGGGCAAGCCAAACACAGCTTTAACATCATCTTCTTCAATATCTAAGAACTCTCCACTTGTAAGCTTGAGTTGTGCAGATATTGGTCTCAGGTTTTCTAGTAGAAACTGAACAAAGTCTCCATGGAACTTATCAAAGCTCAAGTGTAGCAAAGATCCAAATCCTATTTTCTGAACAATTGTCTTCTGTTTTTCACTTAATCCTTTGATTAGCCTTACAAATGGAGCAGGTCCAACTCTAGTCCTCAAATTTATTGAAGCACCAGCAGCAGTAGCAGAAATGTTCTCCATTATTTCCCTTCTAGACTCTTCTTCTATTTCTTGTATAGCATGAGTCTTCCTTTTTCGCGTATTGCGTGCACTTGTTGTTGGATTTTCTTCTATTATCATTTGTATAGGTGGTGGTTGTTCTTTTGGTGGAATATTATCATCAGAGTTACCCATGTCAGTAATTAATTTGTATATGATGCATATCAGTAATTACATTATTCTTACAGAGCAATTTGTAGAACAATTATACTTACATATTGACATGCATACTTTACTTAATTCATAGCAGTGTTTACATCATTTAAGCATAGAAATTGAGCATTTTGTTTCACAATTCCAGTAGTTATATAAGTTTTAAGCATTGAAACTCAGGAATTCCAACAAAAATTGCAGTTACATCTTAACATACACAATTTACATAATTCATAGCAGTAGTTACATCAGTAATTACATCATTTTTACAGAGCATTTTGTACACAAATTGAGCATCTTGTTGAAATAAACCGGTTATATCTTAACATACACAGTTTACTTGATTCATACCAGTACTTACATACGTTTTAACGATTTTTAACAATAATTGCAGTTACATCTCTTAATATACAATACGTTGAAACTCAAAATTTGTAACAACAATTGAAGTTAGATCTTAACATACACACTTTGCATGTTCAAATTGACATCTCAATAAGACATAAATCACATTATTCAATACTCAATTTCTTTCATTTCTGAGTTTGACTTGGAATCTATTAGATTACATGCATGTTGAAATTTACAGCAGGATATCACATAAAACAAATTGTTAGATGCTCCTATATACATTTGGAACTTGATAAAGTAAAGTACATTCTATACCTCTCAAGTGATTTGCGTCTAGCCCTAGTCATTGTGTCGATATGCAGAACCTTGTTCTTTGTTCGGATTCCTTACTTTTCCGTCGGATGGAGTGCTTTCTTTTCCTCTCGCAAGTGGATGTACTTCAGCAATGAAGTTTTGTTGAGATTTTGTCTGATGAAACTTCGAAGAGAGAAATGGTGGAGAAAGTTTCTCGCAAATGTTTTTTCTGAATTTGAAAAGACACGATTGAAGAATATGGGGGGAGTGAAGCGAATAACTGCTCGAGGAAGAAAAACGTGCCGCTAAGAGAAAGCCGTTTATTGGTTTGCGCATTTTTCGATTAAATAATGTCAACGGTGTCGTTTTAGGGGCAGGTGCAGGATACTCATGATGGGCCGATACCACCATATACGAACTGCAAAATCAAGTACAAAAGTGCTGACCAATTGAACGTGAAAGAGCGCCACATCATATGTGACAACCGACAAGTTGAAGTGTTGCCATCATGAGACCTTCACTAGGTTGGGTGTATCTCAGAAAAACGTAGAAATATTAATTAATAAAAATAATTAATTAACTAAAATAGCCAAAGACAAAACCAGAAAATAAGATGGGACAGAAATTAGCCAAAGCTCGTGCTACACACGATATCCTTAAAACGTATCCGACTATTCGTCGCCTCCCACAAGGCTATGAGCATTGCAATGACCGTTTCTCAGGATACGGTGGCTAACGAACTAACGTTTGAGCACACAAACGAAAGTTTCGGCGAACAGGAACAAGCTAGAACACTTAAAAAAAATTGGAGTACCTGAAAGTGTTTTTAGAGCTAAAAACTACGTGCAGATTGCTTGTGAACGTGTGTTTGTTGCAAAGCACCTGCCAGCTATTTATAGGAGGATTTGTGGTGTGTTAACCGAGCTTTAATGGACCTGAATGTTGCACATAAATGTCCATCATGTTGGACATTAATATGTCGAAAAACTGTCCATTTAAAGAAGCATTAAAAGACAAGAACGTTGGGTATTAACTTTCGTAACGGCTAAGAAATGCGCTCAGGTATTATGGTCCGGAAGCCAACAGAATACCTCTATGGTCTTCTCGCACGGACAGAATACCTCATGCCCTTCTGCTGCGAACAGAAGCAGAGCGATTCTAGTGAGACCCTCTTCTGGTCCGGACAGAAGCGGAGTAGTTCGGACGACATTCGTGTCCGCAGGTCGCCCGCGCACGCAAGTCGCGGTTTTTCTACTCTATTTTCGAGATTTGATCACCCCCCCCCCCCCCCCCGCGCGCGAAGCGATCCTTTCCCCGTAGGAAGCTTAACTCCTTCAAAGAGGGTTCCCTTTATAAATAAGCGGGTGAAAATCCCTTGGGTTTTCCGGTGTGGGATAAATCCCACTTGAAACCCATCATTTTCCCAGTTTTTCCATTTCAACGAGTGAACTTCGAGAATCAATTTCTCATTCACCCATTAACCGTTTTGAGTGTATCATATATCGAATTGTAGCCCTTTGCAAGGAAAATCCGAAACTACTTTGACCCGACCCAAATCGAAAGTGGACCCCACTCAAAATATTGCCCCAAATTGACCATTTAATGCAATTTTCACTAGTAAAAAATGGCTTATAGTGACATTTAATTAGTGTCACTAAACGATTTAGTGACACTCTGAAAGTGTCACAGAAAAGTGGGGCTAGTGACGCTAAATTTTGTGTCACCGTTAACAAATCACTTTGGTGTCACAAAATTATGACATATAAACACATAGAGATCTGTGATATATACGTAACAAGGATTTTTGTGATACCAATGCATCATTCTTTTTAGTGATATATACATACACTACTAGAAAAAAGAGCTTACAGTGATAGCAAATTAGTGTCACTAAAAGTTTCTGTGACACTAAAAAAATGTCAATGTACCTGATTCATTAGTATATATATTTATATATATATTGTGGTAGGTCTGGTAGGTCCTTTGCTGATATTGTGGCTAATCGTGAAGGGCAAATAACAACTCAAAAATCAAGATTTAAGGGGCTGCCAGCGATAACGTTTGAGGAAGGAGATGTCCAGGCCTTGGCGGAAAAACATAGTAGAGCGTTGATTGGTTATTTTTATAAAGGACGACCTAGTCTTGCGATTGTTAGAAGTCTTTTGAGATCATTGGATTCAAAGGAAAATTTCAATTAGGATTATTAGATCCTAAACATGTTCTTATCCGATTTGATCTTGAAGATGTGTTGGGAATATTTTATGGTGTTCAATCTAGTTAGTTATCTTTGTATTTGTGTAGTTATTAATTAATCGTGTAATACGGGCCACAAATGTATATCACCCCGTGGGCTTCCTTGTAACCCGTAAGTTAGCCAACTTCTCCTATAAAAGGAGGCTAACTTACGGGAACCCGACTGATCGATAGAGGCTTAGACGCAGAGGCGTAAAGATAGAGAGATATTAGGGTTGCCGCTGCTCTCCTTCTCTAGGGAGAGCAGCGGACAGTTTTTTACGGTTTACCAGATTTGCGTTTCAATCTTGTCGATTTCTTCCTATCTGCTTCTTTATCATTGTTATGGTTGTATGATTGTTTAGTATTTGGGATTAACATTTGGTATCAGAGCCGAGGCGTGAAACAGGTTGAATCTATCTGCGATTTTTTGGCTTGAAACTGATACAGGAGAATCTCGACATTCAGGGCTATTCAGAACAGGTTTCAGATTTTCAAAAATCAATGTTTTCGTTTTGCAGGATCTCGACATTTAGGGACTCGATTTCCTCTTCTCGACATCTTGATCTCGAGATTTGCATCTCGACATCTTGATCTCGAGATTTGCATCTCGACATCTTGATCTCGAGATTTGCATCTCGACATCTTGATCTCGAGATTTGCATCTCGACATCTTGATCTCGAGATTTGAATCTCAAATCTTGATCTCGAGATTTGAATCTCGAAATCAAGATCTCGAGATTTGAATCTCGAAATCAAGATCTCGAGATTTGAATCTCGAAATCAAGATCTCGAGATTTGAATCTCGAAATCAAGA